TAGACTGAAATCTGACTTAAAAAAAAAGAAGAATTGCCCATTTCATGCCACCCTCCCACCCCTTTTCATCATTTTAATCCTTGGGTGTACACCTAATCCCGGATACACTCATACAGTGTATGGACTAAATTCTTCAATGGCCATTTTCACACTAGAGACCGGAAACTCGTCTTGACGGAAAACTCATCTGACAGATTTCTCGTCCTAGTGTGAATTTGAGACGAGTCTAACTACTTGTCAATTTCACTTGAAGCTGAGGCGTGGTTACCTTTCCTTATTTCCAGTGCTCGAAATTTAAAAAAAATCCAGTTGTCCTTATGCCAAATGCCGGACAACCAACCCCTGACTTGTTGCCCTGATGACTGCTTGGTTGTCCTTAAAATATTATCTGACCTATTGCCTAATTATGAGTTTTGACTCAATTTTCACAATTCTCTGAAGTGCATTATTCAAATAATAAATTCACAATGTTTCACACAAAGTTAGTACATGTATATATGTAACTACTTGTGTTTACTTATTCAGTGTCAAGGTCCATGCTTTAAACATGTCTGAGTCCAGGGCTCGAAATTACTAGTTGCCAATGCAAATTTTTAGTTGCCAGATTGTAAAATCAAATAGAAGCTAGTGAAAAAGTGTTTAAAATCATTATGGTTGCAACAATAAATTTAACACAACAAAATATTTTTGCAAAACAAGCTTAAAACAAACAAATTACATATTAAGACTTTCCAGCCACTCTTCCGTGAGCCAAACACGATCGCAAGTAACCAGAGACACAACCCATCTGCATACATGATGTACTCAAGCTTTTCACTAAACTTGCAATGCATTATGGGGCGATTTGAACCCAGAAACTGTGAATGCCACTTGCGTGAGCTACTTGCGTGTATAACCTTCGATTCAGTTGACTTTAAAAATCTTGGTTGCTTCCATTTATTACCTGAAGATTACCCTATATTTAGAGCTATTTTCCTGTGTCAAATTAATAACTTCTTTTCGTATTCTGTTGGACATCACATAAACGTAAGTACTTCGATCAATTTCTACCTGGGTTGTCCGGTGGCTTTTTCTCGGACGACCAGGCCTTTAGTTTTACTGAAAAATGGTTGCCCGAAACACTTTTTAGTCGTCTCGGACGACCAGACGACCGCTAATTTCGAGCACTGTATTTCTAAGACGAGTTATCCGTCACAGACGGGAAACTCATCTTAGAAATCCGTCTAAAGCGACGGAAAAGTAGACGGATAAAATCAGACGAGTTACCCATCTAAAAATTATAACCGTCCCGTTTTCATGCTAGGACGGTCTGAGATGGATGACCCGTCTCAGACGAGTTTCCCGTCTCTAGTGTGAAAATGGCCAATGATAAATTTAGGACTTGTATGATAGCAAGTATAGGAGAACTTTGATGTTGATATTGTTTCAATTGACTAATCATTATTTGCTGTTCTGTCAATTTACAGCCAAAGAGTGGACAAGGACTGTATGCCAAAGACAAATAGTACATACCAGTTTATCAGGCTTATATAAAAGTTTATGTGCGAGGTATCAGTGAGCTCTGTCTCAGGCTTATGTAAAAGTTTGTATGAGCAGTGATGCTTCTTTTAAAAAACTCATTTGCAAACTTTTTTGTATAATATTATTATGTAGTAGATTTAATTGCCATGCCGATGAATGTACATGTACTGTAAATTTGTGATGTTCCAATGTTTGTAAGAGAGTGGAGATCACCAGTCAATACTATTATTTTGATCATGTGACAATGAAGTCAATCACAGTCGGGTGAACAATTACCAGTTGTGGGAAAATGCTGTCTCCGAAATAGACCAAGCCCACAGTTTTCATCACCAAAGTTGCTTTTAGAAACAACATGAGTGACGTACCCTTATTGTGCCACACCGATGTGACAATTTTCAAAGTACTCGCGAGTACATGCGTTATTTGTTGATTAGGTGATACATGTAAGCTGTAAAATGGTATTTGTTCTTGCAACTGACCATAACTATAAATAATGTAGCTAGCACAAAAGTTATTTCTCATGGCATCAAATTGACTCTTTGTTCAGAAAAACTTTACAAAGCCATAACTCTCAATAATTTGACGTGCATTTTCGATCGCCTGCACCCATGTGTCCATCAGTTACAACTGACACTGTTACATAACCGCTGATGCAAAGTGTTGTTGTCAATTCAGTGTTAGAAACTAAGCTATTATGTGTTGTGAATCCTTGCTACATTTCAAGGGATTCCAAAGAAAAAAAAATCAATTTAAGGACCCGATGTTTAACTACCGTAAAAGCTCTATTTAGGCCCCATCTCTATTAAGCCCCCCACCACTACCACCCATTAGAGGTCGGAATTAAATGTTAGCATCTGAATAATTGATTTCCGTCAGGGCCTATGCAAATGACATTTCAGCAATATGTTCTGGCGTTTCTGTCACTTTGTATTGAAAAGTGTACCGGTATTTTATATTGTTGAGCTATGGCATCAATGACAAATAAGACTTATGATTTGAAATAAGCCCCTCCTCTCGATTAAGTCCCCCCCCCCCCCTCTTGGGGCCTGAAATTAAATAGGCCCCTTAAAGGGACACTGTCCCAGCGTATTTGCTCAAAACTGTTATAAATGCATGAAATGGTCCCTAAATCTATGAAATAAGAACTTAATAAACTCTAACTAAATGGTAAAAAGCAATTTCTTCAAGAAATTCCTTACTGCAACAAATTTTTGCAAAATTTTAAGATTTCCGAGCCGAATTTGAACTTGAAAAACTGACATCCTGACGTTTTTTCAAAAATCCATATTGCAATCCATTTCCATCCTCGCTGTCGTTTGTCATCCTCACTTCCTAATGGGTTCCAGTCATTTGTGAGTGCTATTCTACAGATTAAACCATTATTGTTCAACTTCCTATGATCTAGATATGTTTCTGAGCTTCCCCAAATCATGCTAAAATCAGGACAGTGTCCCTTTAATGTGAATTTTCTCAAAAAACTTATGATTTGAAATAAGCCCCCCCTCTTGATTAAGCCCCCCCCCCCCCCCCCTTCTTGGGCCTGAAAAAAAAAATCCCCCGGGGGCTTAATAGAGCTTTTTACGGTAAATACTGAAATTCAGTAAAAGCAACCAGGGAGAATACTAAACTCTGTTTAATGTGAAGTTTATTAAACTGATCAAGAGACTTGAAAGTGATGTTCATATTGTTTGCTTAGAGTTTGAATCTACTGTGGAATCCCAGTTTCTCGTACCCTCAATTCCTCAAACATCCGCCCTGACAACTCGGACCAAACGTTGTTTCCTTGGATTTGTTTCACTGTAATTTTACTCCCCCTATTTCCCAAACCAATTTTTGTTTCCCTTGGAGGTTCGAGAAATCGGGATTCTACGGTACTATTTAAGCCTGGTTTCCATATAATCGCTGCGATCCCTGTGATCATATGGAACTGAGGTCTCAACGGGTAGTATCGAAAACGAAGCACTCGAAAACGAAACCGAAGCACGAAGCACCCTGAACTCGAAAACGAAGCACCCCTAAACTCGGTCACCAAAACACGAACACTGAATAATTTTAAATTACACTGTATCTTAAAAAGAACGACCTGCAACCTACAGTAACAAAAATTTCAGACCGCTTACTTATATAAATGGCGAAACGTAGTCCTTGTAGTTATTCTTTGGGTGAGTCACGCAACGCTTTTATCCGGTATCGAGAAGATGCGTGCGACATGACAAGAGCCTCTCTATGGGTATTTCTGAAGATGCGACGATCACCGCAGAAAAAACGAAGATTTCAAGAGTGTAGCGAAGATTTAGAAATTCACGTGGTCAAGGCTGAAAATGACAAAAATGTATCCATGATGCAATCGTCAAGTCGACGGAAAACGAAGATTTTCTAAAAAATCCAGATTTGCAAAAAAATGCGACGAAATCGCAGTCTGAAGTTACCCATAGAGTGTCTGGGCCCTGGAACGAGGTAGGCTTTACCGACTTCGAATTTAAATCCAACTTGGAGTAACCGGGTAAGGGTGCTTTGTTTTCGAGTTCAGGGTGCTTCGTTTTCGACTTCAGGGTGCTTCGGTCTTCGTTTTCGATACCACCGATCTCAACGATTGCAAGGATCGCACTGAGGATCGTCGCAGAACACTTTTCTGCAATCGTTGCGATTATATGGAAACCAGGCTTACAAACAAGCCTAAAAGATGCTCATATCTCCAGGGACCGCGCAGGGGAGGGGCTGGGGGCTTAGTCCCCCCCCCCCCCCCCACTTTTCTAAATAATAATAATAAAAATTTCCAGGAGTCATTTCACTACAGTAACGTTTTTTTACTGGAAGTTGGTGATAAAATTTACTTTTTTGATCTGCAGTAGTTCGCAAACGGACAAAAGTTGCAATGACCATTAGCAAAGTAGACGCGATTACAACTGAACAAATATCAAGAGTTAAGATAACTTAGAGTTGACTGACTTTATGCTATTGAGCAGCTGTATCTTGCGTTTTATAGAGAAACGTTTTTATGACAACATTTTATCGCCATAGATACTTTAAACTGAGAATTATATACACAGTTTCTGGACATCTCGGGACACGGGAGTCCTGTGTGATAACTAACAGAGAAGCGCACATGGTAAAATGAGCATAATTAACGAAGCTTCTGGCTGTTGGAAAGAAAATATCTACAAAAATCTCTGATTGCTTTTCGAAAGTGGACAACTCTCTCTGAATTTAAAGGCCCGGATAATAATGTTGATTCTTGTATTAAAAACAGTCACTTTTTAATCGCTGAAAGTTGGTAATTTGCACCACGCTTGTTAATTTTAGATGCATTTCCAGCCATTTCAGAGGACTTAAAATCACAATTTTTCCGGGGGGCGTGCGTAGATAGCTCTCGCTGACGCGTTCGCATTAGCCCCCCCACTCAAAAAAGGGCTGCGCGGGCCTGATCTCACAGATTAACTAAACTAATCCTAGTAGTATATGTCCTAAGGTTCCACAAATCTCCTGTAGCTCAGAGGTAGAGCGTCCCGCCAGTGACATGCGGAAGGCCATAGGTTCGACTCCTGTTGAGAGAACTCGGAATTATTTTTTGTCACTGACTGATAATATCTTTCTCATTGTGTTTACCAAGCTTAAAGGGGCAGTGTCACAAACTAGTTTAGTATTACTTAAACATCCTAGCAGAAGTGTTTGTATCAATTATGGAAATCCACTAATAGTGGCCTGTTCTTGCTGAAAGTTAAAAATACTGGTACAGAAAAAACTGTTAAAAAATTTATTTGACTAAGGACGGGAAGGAAGTGTAATGAAACTTGAAAAAGTCGGGCCGTCGTTTTTCAGGTTTTACGGTGTTCTTGGGAAATCTAGCTCAAAATCAATGATTCTGGTTTGTTCCCACCTCAGGAGAAGGAATTGATGTCTTTCTCTTGTTGTTCAGGAGCCATTTTGTGCATCAGCGAGTGTAACTTCATAATTCAAGCGTAGTTTGTACACAAAGACTTGGAGAATTCTCGTGATACTGCCCCTTTAACATTTACCATCATTTCTTTCCACAATTTTTTTGTTTTGTTTAAAAGTACTTTTAAAAGGAGAAACCATTTTTTTTTACATTAAACTCATCACCAATAGATGAGCTTGGGGAAGGTGCCTTGATATGGTGGAGCCAGGCATGATTTGCGCAGAGTGTGCAGATATCCATCGGCAACACTGAGAGCGGCAACCAACAGGCACCGTCACACTGATGGAATCAGTGGAGATACTTACCAACCCATATACTTACCAGACGCAACTTTTTGGTCAGTGCAACGGCTAGCCAACCAAATACTTACCAAGCCAAAGAAGGGAGGGAGGAGTGGGAGCAGCAAAGCACACGGCAAGCGCGACGAAGCTAAACGCAAACTGCGCTTTCCACAATAAGCTGGAACCAAAAACACGTGAAGCCCCTGAAAGCCCCCGTATATCCAATCCCGTGCGCGTGGGCCACCGGGGAGAGCTGCTGACGCACCATTGACTCGAGACTCATCCTCTTCACCTCTAGAGAGGCATAAAGGCCGCATTGTCTCGATTTTAACATAGCCTAAATTCCATGTAGCCACATTTAAATGATCTTCAGGTTAAAACAATGAGATGACGTGATGTTGAAAACGTTTGGATTCTCTTTTTTTAAAGTATTTTTAAACCAAACAACGTTTAGCTTGTAAATAGCAACTTCAGACTTGAAAGTGTTCATGAGCAAAGTTCAACTAAAGACTAATATTTTACTCTAAACGTGTGAAATACTGTCAAGTCAAATTCCTATACCCTCCCGCTAAATATAACCCCCACCCCACCCGTGAAAATAAGCTAATCAATTCTCAGACAACAACGTTATTAGTTTCTAATCAAACTGTTGTGCTGCGTCGGCGGGCAAGTAAAACACTTAGTTGATTATCAACTCGAAGTTGATAAAGGTAAATTAACCGCCGTAGCGAATTTGGAGAAGCTGAGGTTTCGAGCGTTAGCCCTTTGTCAGAGGGCGAACGCTCGAAACCTCAGCTCCAAATTCGCTACGGCGGTTAATTTACCTTCAAGTTGATAATCAACTAAGTGAAATTCTCAGGCAAACCTTCGATAATAAGGGACTGTGCAATAATTATCAGGAGGGCGGGGGGGTTTGGAAAGGGGCTTCATGTAGGAAAATATTAGGTACCCCCCCTCCTGAAGGAGTGAATATAGTTATTGCCCCCCCAGTCAGAAGTTATGTACGACCCCCCCCCCCCCAGTATACACACACCTTTATACAAGTACCCTGCATTTTCTCTACATGCACCTGTGAATTAAAATGATCTTATAACAGAAAGAAGAGCTCCTACTACATGCTTAATTGTTGGACATCCGCGTCTGGAACAAACATCACCTCGGTAGCAATGTTCAACAGAGCCATAGCAGAAGGAAAAAGAGCATGTGTGTTATTTTTTCGGTCCCCACCTTATAAATAGGTATGGATTCGCCAATGTAATATGTACTTGAAATAAATGTTAAGTCCCCCCCCCCCCCCCCCCTCCTCCCTCTCTCTCGAGTGACTTATTTTACCTTGAGCCCCCCTATCCTTGCTTTGATTTTACTTTATGCCCCCCCCCCCCCCTCCTGGTAATTATTGCACAGTCCCTAAGCCCCTCTGATGACAAGTTTATGGGATTATTGTTAGACTTAGTCTGTGAAGAACAATGATAATAATTATTGTAGTCCATTCTGATTCTGTAGTTTATTCTACTGTGGAGCTTGTTACATTGTATTCATGTTCATGTCATTATACGGAATTGTTCAGAAACTTTTGATGTTCAAGTTGAAACAAAGGAAATCATAACCGTGTCGGAGGTTTGGAGGCTCGGTCTTAATTAGTACAGATTATTACGAATTTATTTCTCCGTTTACTCCTTAGTTTTTGGTTCAATTGAGAAGATATATCAAACACTCGAGACAGTGTTTCATCGGCTATCCAAACACCCTACAATTTCGTCAAAAATACTCCGCTGCGCGTCGTATTTTCAACTCCCTTTTCGGTGTTTGGATATCCCGATGAAACAATGTCTCAAACACTGTGTTTTGGTATATAACCTGACCCGTGAGATTTTACAAGCTTTTCGTGAAATCTAAACTAGAATAATTTAAGCATTCGAATGCTGAATCCCAGGCTACTCAGTCTTAACTTAATTTAATAAAATCCTCTCAAGGTCACCGGCGTAAGAAGCAATATATTTCGTCCATAACTGTACTGACATCAGCGTTGCATATCGCCTTCTGCACATGCGGTCGCCTGACTGCACTTTCAAGATTGTCATGCGCAGTAGGTCGGGCGTGCAGTCTGCGTAAACTTGCCAACAGTTCCACAGGATCACTGGCTATTGGGACATGACGTAACCCTTTCAGGACGTCACGTGCAAACTTGCTGTAGTGTGCAGTTGCAGAAATAATCATTGGTCGATTGGCGTCAACAAAACGACCAGCTACGTCTTTGGCTACTGCTGTGTGGGTGTCCAGGACATACCCTGTTTGTCCAAATGTGGATCTAATGGTATTCAGGCATCTATCTTCTGTGGTCCAGTCCGCTTTGAACATGGTCGACAAGTTGCGCCTTTGGTCATCGGAAATCTGCAAGAAATTCAACGTTGATTGTCAAACATTTTGAGAGTTCATTATATTTTGTTTTAACCGAAGTCAAAACCAAGGGTCAAACCATGGGTCAATAAATGTGGTTGTACCTTTTGAGTCTGTGGATTAAACCCTATAGTGTGTGACCATTCAAATGAAAGCTATTGAGCAGTACTTTCATGTGGTACTGTTTATTATGCTGTACAAGGTGGTTCTAACTTTTAAGTCTGTGGATGAAACCCTAGTGTGTGACCATTCAAATGAACGCTATTGAGCAGTACTTTCATGTGGTACTGTTTATTATGCTGTACAAGGTGGTTCTAACTTTTAAGTCTGTGGATGAAACCCTAGTGTGTGACCACTCAAATGAACGCTATTGAGCAGTACTTTCATGTGGTACTGTTTATTATGCTGTACAAGGTGGTTCTAACTTTTAAGTCTGTGGATGAAACCCTAGTGTGTGACCACTCAAATGAACGCTATTGAGCAGTACTTTCATGTGGTACTGTTTATTATGCTGTACAAGGTGGTTCTAACTTTTAAGTCTGTGGATGAAACCCAAGTGTGTGACCATTCAAATGAACGCTATTGAGCAGTACTTTCATGTGGTACTGTTTATTATGCTGTACAAGGTGGTTCTAACTTTTAAGTCTGTGGATGAAACCCAAGTGTGTGACCATTCAAATGAACGCTATTGAGCAGTACTTTCATGTGGTACTGTTTATTATGCTGTACAAGGTGGTTCTAACTTTTAAGTCTGTGGATGAAACCCTAGTGTGTGACCATTCAAATGAAAGCTATTGAGCAGTACTTTCATGTGGTACTGTTTATTATGCTGTACAAGGTGGTTCTAACTTTTAAGTCTGTGGATGAAACCCTAGTGTGTGACCATTCAAATGAAAGCTATTGAGCAGTACTTTCATGTGGTACTGTTTATTATGCTGTACAAGGTGGTTCTAACTTTTAAGTCTGTGGATGAAACCCTAGTGTGTGACCATTCAAATGAAAGCTATTGAGCAGTACTTTCACGTGGTACTGTTTATTATGCTGTACAAGGTGATTCTAACTTTTAAGTCTGTGGATGAAACCCTCGTGCAGTGAGTGACCATTCAAATGAAAAGTATTGAGAACGGTACTTTCACGCGGTACTGTTTGTTTTTGACAATTTTGCAACATGAAATTCATGAATTTCCTCTCCGTTTTGAACTTATAGCATTCTTGGTAGTGAAAGGGTTAAGAAATGATTGAATCGTGGAAGACACGGAGCGCTGGCCTGGGTCATTGTGTTGTGTTTCTGGGCAGACAGGTCTCACAGTGCCACTCTCCGCCTAGGGTAACCTGACAAAAAAAATGTGGGGGAGGGGGGAGGGGGTTATTTGTGATGGACTAGCATCCCATCCAAGGGAGTAGTAATACTCCTAGTCACTTCATGCTATGGGAACCGGGGTTAAGCGCCAACCCGGAGAAACTACCTGGCTTATAGTAACACTAACTGATCTATATGGTCACCAAGCAGACGCCATTTTTCGGTTAAAAAGCTTTTTCCGACAATCTAATTGGCTGATATTTCGCGCGAAATGCCCCTACTGACTGTCTGTACCATGTATCGATCTAGATTAAAAGGACACTGTCCCGGCGTATTTGCTCAAAACTGTTATAAATGCATGAAATGGTCCCTAAATCTATGAAATAAGAACTTAATAAACTCTAACTAAATGATAAAAAGCAATTTCTTCAAGAAATTCCATACTGCAACAAACGTTTTGCAAACTTTCAAAGATTTCCGAGCCAAATTTGAAACTTTGAAAAACTGACATCCTGACGTTTTTTTCAAAAATCCATATTGCAATCCATTTCCATCCTCGCTGTCGTTCGTCATCCTCACTTCCTAATGGGTTCCTGTCATTTGTCGAGTGTTATTCTACAGAATCAAACCATTATTGAT